ACGCCCTTCATTTACCACGTCGTGGTTCATGACGAATTACTATGCCAGGAATGCACACATCCAATCGCTTTGCATCGTACCCTCCGGGCAGAGTGAGGTCGCTTTCCCGCTCATACTGCCTATCATCCCAATATTCAATGTCACCCCAAGCATCAAGCCCGCAGTAGCTATCGGTGTATTCCGGGTTCCTATAATCCGATGGAGCCGTTTCCTCGTCTGCTCGAGGGGGTGTATGATCCGTTGGCATGATGCTCTTAACCCGCTCTACATCGCATGGTGTCCAGTCAAGCGGTCCGCTCGACGATCGAACACCAGACTGTTGCGCGAGAGTGGCGAATCGTTGCCGCCAGGTGCGGTAGTCGGGAGTTTCACAAAAGCCGAGAGACCGACTGTAGTCCAAGAAGCCGCCGATTTCAGGAAAGCCAGCGCGTACGAGCACCAAGCCTTTGCATGCCTCTTTGGCGGCATGTATGCGTATCATTGCATGCGTTTCGCCCTCATACCAGTACGCCTTTGACTCGGTGTGCTCCGCTCGCCAGGGCAAGTCTCCACGAAGCAGGAAAAGGCCGACGTAAGCAAGAGACTCAAGGTCATCTCGCCGAGAGAGGTCTAGATGGGACGAGATCGATAAAGCCCCGGACTGAGTAGTTAACACGATACGTCGCTCACCGAATCCGAGATGAGAGTTCAAGCTAGCCCAGTGCAATGTGCCGACAATAACTTTGTTCTCCTTAATAGGGTCGTATTTGCTGGGTGAACCACTACGTTGGTAAGGCTTAGCGAGGCCGAAGTCAATTAGTCTCAGGCGGGATGGATCATCTAAGCACGTGAGAATATTTGCAGGTTTGACATCACGATGCACTATCCCAAGCGAGTGCGAGTGTTCGAGTGCAGCTAGCTATGCGGGAATGATCAGCTTGCCGCGGCCGTTTGGCGAAAAAGGAGAGGCTCACCATCTGGTCCATGAGGCGAGCATAGGTGACTGCCGAAGTCCCATGCGGTGCAGGGTGTAGGTCCCGGATGCTGGGTCCGAGGAGCTCCATACCGATGTACTCAAAGTGCGGAACACGTCCGTAACCGTATAGCACCGGGATCGCGGGATGCCCTTGAAGCAGTTGCAAGACTCGGCTTTCGTGTTGCAGTATGGTTCTCTGTACACGTAAGGAGGTACGAGACATCTTCAGCGCGACGTATGTCCGGCTGCCTGGGTCTATGCCTCGATATACGCGACTCTGTGAGGCCATATAGGATGCGAGTGAGAACGGTGTGGATCGTCTACGCAATTTTGGGTTCAGCTCACGTATGCTCCTTGCCCGATCGAGCCCTCTCTTTGCCTATGATATACGAGAGTAATGGACGACATCTCGGTTGCAGGTCGATGTCACGCGACAGGCGTACTGTTCTGCGTTCTAATTGCTGATGGAGGGAGACGAGCATGGAGCGAGGCTGAACTATCATGTGTCGTATATATACTGCATGCCACAATGACAAATGCTGTCCCAGCTGCGACCAATAGACGCACTTCGCGTTGCAAGAATTGACCACTACGGAGGTGTGGTCGGCAGCTAGAAGATCCGAGAAACACAATGCCAGGCAACAGGTCACTTATGCGCGCAACACGAGTCCAGAGTGTCCGCCGCCTTGAGATCCATATTTATGATTAGCATTACGGAACGCAGGAAGTCGCCGTCCGAAAGCCGGTGCAGCATGTGCTTCTCGTGTTGTCATTAGTGCACGTTACAGAACAGACATGATCATGAGCGGCAGCACGGCAATCGTGCCAGCAAAGGTATAAGCAGAAGCGGGTCGATTCGTGCCAAACCCGCCCGATGTTTTGGTCGTGGCGCTCGGGGCTGGAGCAGGTTCCGTTGCACTCGCCCTAGAGGTGAACGGCGCTGTCCCCGGGTCCTCGGTAGGAGACGCGCCATCAACCCACACGGTAGGATCTGCGATGCCAGTGTAGTCCGTGTACGACCCGGATAAGACGGTGTCCCCGCTGACACGAAACGCAGGTCCAACAGTATGCCTGGAGAAAGGTGGAACAGAGCGTTAGCAGAGTGGAATGGTACACAGAACGAGCGACGACGCACGGGGCGCTGGGGGTCCAGTCGTCTACGATGCCACAGGTACCGCCGAACAGCGTCGTCTTGTTGAAAAGGGATAGGTTGCCGACATAGGCGAGCTGGTTGGCCATACAGTCCGCGCTGAAGCCGAGTGGGAGATCGCCGTGGAGTAGGCGGTAGACTTCGAGTACGCCGGTTTGGGCAAAGTCCTGTTGTGATGAACGGGTTGTGAGCGTGTGTATTGCGCGGGGATGGATGGAGCATTGTTACCTCGGTCGAGTTCGTCTGCGACGGAGTGTCTGGGACACAGGAGTCTGCGTCTACAGCGTCGAGCCAGCCTTGCGATGTGGAGTGGTCATTGTCAGAGACCAACACCGACTGTATTGGACGTTTAGCATGTTAGCGAGCGCGATAATCCGACTCACATTATGTATCCAGGCCCTCTGTGAACACACTCCGAAGAAATGCATGTCACGTCCGACAGTGAAGGAGGTTCCGGTGTGCATTGGCCCGGGAAACACCATGACCGTGCCTATGTTCCGTCGGAGTCCGACCGGAATCCTCGCAAGGTGCTCCACCGCTTCGATGATGGTGATGTTGGAGGTGATGCAATGACAGACCGTCCACGGAGACGCACAGTCGTCGTATCCGGCGCTGTATCCAATCATGGCCGAAGGGCACGAAGCGCCCGATCCCGTCAAGTTGGCGCATTCGTTGGGTAGATCGCTCAGCTGGCTCAGTCTGTATGGTGGCGCTGGAATGTCGAGTAGGTCGAAGCCGGTAAATGCCGCCGATTGGGGTGGCTTTGTAGCTTCGAGCTTTCCGGCATCCGACGCACTAGGTGCAAACGCAAAAGGGGTGTGTACGACCGCGGACGCCGTGATTATCACATCCCCTTGGTTGGGAGGCACGCCATCGACCCATACCGCGGCCGTCGGATTCGGGATCTCGGTGTAGTCCGTATACGAGCCTGAGATGACGGCAGCATCATTGGTAGGGAAAGGCGGACCATTGATGTGTCTGCCAAGAGCATAAGCCATGGTCGTCGAGAGCAGCAATCGCATGTGGAACTCACACTGCGCTTGGGGTCCAGTCATCAACGATGGCGCAAGTGTCGCCGAAGAGATGCGTCTTGTTGTACAATGATAGGCTGTCCATGTACGCGAACTGATGAGACATGCAATCGGTGCTGAACCCAGGTGGAAGTTCGCCGTGGAAGACGCGGTACGCCTCGAGCACGCTCGTCTGCGCGAAGTCCTGGCAATAGGGTACGTAAGTGATATTGGGCAGGGATAATAGGAACAAGACCCGCGAACGCACCTCGATGAGGTTCGTCTGCGAGTATATGTCTGGTACACACGAGTCGTTGCCGACTGCCTCAGCCCATGCCTGAGATTCAGCATGCCCATTATCGGAAGCATGCGTGGACTATGCGTAATGAGTGGCCAAGCGTGATGTAGGCACGCTTAACGATTGCATACCTCATGAACCCATGACTTTTGTGAGGCTACCCCAAAGAAGTGTATGTCATGCCCCACTGTATACGCACTGGAAGTCTCAAACGGAGCAGGAAGGATCATGACCGTATCGATGTTCCGACGGAGTCCGACAGGAATCCGAGCAAGGTGATCTGCAGCCTCGATGATCGTGATATTCGCAGTTATACAGTGACAGATCGTCCAAGCGCTCTCGCAGTCGTCGTAGAACACGGCATAGCCGAGCATAGACGAAGGGCACTCGATGGCATCCGTGTCTCCCGCCGGAGCCGGAGCGGAGAAATTGGCGCACTTGCTCGGAAGCGGGAACGGCGTCAAATTGTACGGCGGGGCGGGGATGTCGAGCAGATCGAAGCCCGAGAAATCTGGTTGCTGCGGTTTCTGAGACAGGGAGCCGTCGTCACGGGCGAGGTGCGCCGCCGTTGTAGTAGCGACCGCCCAGCATAGGATTGTCGACAAGAGACCTACATCGAACGGCAACATTGAGAGGGCGGATCAAGAGCAAGACCACCCCGAACTCCCAACCAACGGAGATTTGAAGCACGGTGAGAGAAAGCCGTCTGAGAAGAAAAGAGTTCGCACGGCGGGGCAAACGGCGGAAAGGCGGACGGCGATATCGTCGAGGAGTCGCTATGTTCGGAACGAAGCAAGGAAACGTGTAGGTGTGCGGACATACAGAGCTCGAGTCTGACTGCGGCCTCCATGCCTCTACCATCGGGTGAACCTCGAGGGTCGACCTAGGGGAGCGTACTATTACATCCATCTCTCGGAGAAAATGTCAGCAAAATGAAACGCAGTGAAAACAGTGGAGAGAAAAGGGGCTTGTCCATTGCCGTGGGCGTAGCATACGGTCCCATGGCAGGAGGGTAGTGGGAGCAGTACTAAAAGTCGATTTGTCCAGGCCAAGTTCACTGCGATATTGTAGGCTTGGTTTAGAATACGCGCGCTGGAAATCTGGGCCCTGCATGTTATCACCCTGGCAGGATGGTTGCGCAGCTTGTGCGTGACAAGTGAATGTGTAGTGGATGATGAAAGTCTGCTGCGCTATATGCAGGGTGCTTTCAGGAAGGGAAGAGGGATGACGGATTCGTCCTGACTGTGCAAGTGATGTATGTCATTCGATTTCGCAGCGCCTGAGCAACATTCTTCAACTGTAACCTTGCCGTCACTGCCTACTCCAGTCGCATCTGAAGTGACAGCTCGCGTATCTCAATATCTATGGTGCGCACTCGCGCTGCACGGCTAGAAGAGCATCGCTCGACCTCGCCAACAGTACTCTGACATCGAGCAGCTCGTCCTCTCCGGCGAGCTCTTCAACGGCCCCGAACGCTCGACCTCGCCCGTCCGCTCGCGATCGCCCTCGCCGACGCCCGAAAATGAGTGGCCGACAGAGAAAGGCTACGAGGCGGACGACGGGTACGACTCGGCGACGGAGCGCAACAAGCAGGTCGAGAAGATCCTCGGCGGGCGCCCGCCCCAGGAGTCGATCGGCATGGGCCCCGGGCGCACGGGCGTGAAGGGCGTCATCCGCGACCGCGACGAGGCGCGGGAGGCCGAGCGCGCGCGGCGTGCGAGGGAGGTCGACGCGCTGAACAGGAAGATGGAGCGCACGGCGATCACGGCGAGGACGTGGCGCGAGGACGAGCGCGAGCGCGAGTGGGAGAAGGCCAGGCTCGAGGGCACGCAGATCCGCGTCCCGTCGCAGACCGTGTTCGGCGAGCGGAAGGGGCGGTTTGGCCATCTGAGGGAGGTGGGCGTCGGCGGGTTCGTGCCTGCTGTTGAACAGGAGGAGCGGGGGACGTGGGTGGTCGTCCATTTATACGATCCAGTGAGCCCTGGTTGTTTTTCTAGTCGCGCTTGACTAGCTAACCTTTGCGATCTTAGTCGGTGGATAGGTGCTACACCCTGGACGATACCCTTTCCCGCCTTGCACGCCGATACCCGGACACGAAGTTCATCCGCGTACGCGCTTCTGCCCTTGGCTTCGCGACTAAGCAGCCCTCCTCGTCCTCAACTCGCGCAAAGCCATCTGGGATCAGGCGCGCGACACGCACCATCCGAGAAGACGACGACGACGACGACCCATTCGGAGACGAAAAGAGCGGATTCGTCGGCCGCCACGAGGACGACGAGAGTGAGCGCAGCTCCGACGAGGACGACGACAACGTCGATACGGACATGCTACCCACGATGCTGGTTTACCGCGATGGAGAGCTCGTCTTCAACTGGGTCCGCGTCGACTTTGAGGCTGGACAGGCCGGCATCGAAGAGCTGCTGCTGAGGTGTGCAACCATTTCTCAACTTCGAGGTCATCGGGACGTGCTAACTCTTACGATGCAGGCATCATGTCCTTCCGACCTCAGGAGCCCAGAACAACTGTGGCCTGCCATCGGATGACGAGCTTTTCGACGACGATTGAACTACTTTAAAGTACTCCGATGCTGTATGAAGATTTGTTTTCTCTTGTTGGGCACGTTTCGGGTTCGAGGATCGGTGGTCTGTAGCATTATGTATGATAGGCATCCGAACAATGAAAAGCGGTCAGAAGGTCTCATCTTTCAACTTCAACATGAAACAGGTCAGATCTGTTGAATACTGCCGTGCATGCAAAGACAACATTATGGGGTCTAGG